GGAGAGCTCTTTCTTCTCCTGACTTCCAAGGAGGGGACAACAGAAAATTACAGTGACTGGATTGCATTTCAGGAAGCAGCAGACAGCACACAAGATGGAGGTCTCACAGACTCTATGCTGAGGGACACTGCAACTGTCCTGGTGTGAAAGTATACTCTGTGATGTTCACATGGCTTTAAAAATCCAGCCGTGTAGTTCTCAGACCTGAGTCAGCCGTAGGATGGCCCTTTCTCTGGCCTTTTGTGTGAACCTGAAATGTTTACACCCATCTTCAGCCGGGCTCTGTAGGACACGGGGTTTTGGTTTCTTTTGGGGTAGAAGAATGGAAAGCCGGCTACATGCCTGCTCCTCTGTTGTACAGCGAGCCAGCTGAGATCAGAACAGGGGCTCCCTTTGTTCAAGATGCTCATCCTGCTGAGCAGTGCTGACTTGCCCAGGCTGCCGGTAGAAAGGCTGCTACATCCTTGACCGTCTGAACGTCTAACAGTGACATCATTGTAACCAGAACAGCCCCGAAGAGAAGTGGGCAGGAGCTTCCATGTGTCTAATTTTTATGGAATTTTGCCTCTAAGAGCCAGAGTATTTTCTTGCCTTACAAAGGGGGGACTTGATAAATGCAAGCTTTTAGTGTTGATAACATCCTTCCAATACGCACGCTTGATTGAGCATCAGAAGACCAGTGTATGGGATATGGGCATAGCGTGCATACTGCTGCCTCCGGCTAGGGACAGGATAATGAAGGGAACACTCAAAAAGTGGGGATAGGCACACTGATTCCCCCCAAAAATCTGCTCCACGCCAAGCCCCTGACTTGTAAATGGAGATGAGTACATCTTGAGGAGAGTTACAACCATTTTGCTGCTACGTCATGATAGCACATAAGTCTACTGAGCAGTGGGCATTAAGGTGAGATTAAGAGGAAGTTAAGCCATGGTGGCGACAGCATCGCTACCATTGGGGAATGCTCCCAAATGCCAGCTAAGCTGGTTGCTTGATGAACTCCCTTCCTAGCTCAGAAAGCCCAAGGTTGTCTCAACCCACTCCCAATCTCCTTTCCTTCTTCATGAGGTCTGGACCCTCCTGCAAGCTGGACTCAGCCTCTGGCATCTTCCTCTGCCAAGCCCTATAGTTTGCCAGGAGGTCAGATCCAAAACACTATTGCAACAGCAATAGCAAAGGCTGAGCAAACAGCTCCAAAACGACGATGAAAAACTGAACTATGGAAGCAGACAGCCTGTCTGGGAATTCCACCAGCATGATAAGTTATAACAACGAGGCTCCAGGTTTCCAGATCAGGAGCCGAGCTGGCAGGGGAGGTGCAAGGGTCGCCAGGACAGTCGCCCTCTCGGTTTCTGAAGAGTGATGACTTTTATATTAATATGAAGATTTCTAAGACCATGGAAGAAAAGCCACGGGGAGCTAGAGAGATGGCTCAATGACGAGAAGGACTTTCTTCTCAGTCAAGAGAACCCGAGTTCAGATCTTAGCGTCCACAGTGGGAGGCTCACAGATTTCAGTAACTCCAGCTCCAAGGAATCCAATACCCTCCTCTGGCCTCTGAAGATACCTGCACCTGCATGTGCATACATGAACACACACACACACACACACACACACACACACACACACACACACCCCAATAGTAAATAAAAAAGGAAAACCATTGGGAAAAAATGTGAAGGCAGGGCTGCAAGGCCAGATGACTTCCAAAAGCTGTTACATTAAAAAAGTAAGGGGGAAAATGCATAGCTCAGTAAAAAACAATACAAAAATAATAATAAACTTTTCTGTACACCCTTCAGCGAGGTTCTGCCTCCCTTTCAAAGTACCTGGTTTTGTGCTCAGACCAGAAGGGACTCTAAGTTCTGCATGGCAACAAGAGTTCAATGACCCTTCACCCATTACATGAGATAGTGTTTCGTTGTTGGCAAAATATGCCTGAGACAGACAAGTTAAGGAAGGAGAGATTGGGGGAGGGGGAGGAGCTCGTGGTTTCAGAACTTTCGGTCCATGCTCCATGGCTTTTAGGAGTGTTCTCTGAGCAAGACTTCTTAAAAGGAGACCCCGAGTGCACTGGCTCAGGGCACCGGGAAAAAGAAAAGAGGGTGTTTTATAACAGGCAGAGAGAACGTCATGCCAAAAGGATGTATATGAAGAAAACAGCTCATTTCATGGTGGCCAGGAAGCAGGGAACAAAATAGGTAGGGCCCAGGTACAAGAAATAACCCAAAGGGTTCTCAGCTCCCAGCGACCTTCAACTCGGCCTGCTTCCCTAACAGCCCACTCAGCTATGAACTCATCAATGGATCAATCCACGAACTCGGGAACAGGCTGTGGACACTGGAGCTTGAAGGATACTTCCATCCAAACTGTCCACTGCCTACCTGGACATAATACTGGTACCAAAGGGATCAGGTGGCCCCTGTGCTGGAGAAGCAGTAGCTTGTGGGGTGAGCAGGAAGTCCAGAAGAACAAAGAACAGCAGAAAGACCACTGTCACTAAGCCTCCCTCCTCACCAGCCATCCCCGTCACAGACACTGGTTCCCTGGAGCAGCTTCTTGTAGTTGGGGAACTTGCAGCTCGGGCTTCTAACATGCATCTCTAGCAGAGAACCAGCCTGCTGTGTCTTCAAACTGTCTTTCTGGTTTAACTTTCCTTCTCTTCCTCTTCCTTCATCCCTTAGTCTGGGTTACACCATCTCATTCTGGGATGCTGACAATGGTCACAACATGACATTCTCAGGACAGCCATCTCCTTTCTAGTCTTGTAGAAACTCTTCCTAAACAGCTCCAGAAAAGCATTAAACTCTCTTATTCTCAGAGTATCTGAAGCTCAGGCCTCTCTGGCTTCCAGAATCTTCCAAACAACCTAGCCCAACTTCTGGTGCTCGTGGGAGCTCTGGACTCTTCATCCACAGCTCCTCCCTGCTCCTCTGCCTCAGGCTGTAGTTGTCTCTGGATTCATTTCTTATCCTTTCTCCCTGCAAAGCCCCTCTCACTCTGCCTACTCAGTTGCTTCTTCTTCAGGCCCACCTATGGCCTCCTCAGTCGTCCTAGGCCTCTGGGATCCCTCCTCTAGCTGAATGTGGCTCTCGCGAGTTCCCAATTGTCTCCTCTGCCCAATTAGCAGACAAGGGATTGGAAAGCAGGGTTTCCCTCCACCTGGACTCCCCAAAATCAGGACAGAGCATCATATACGGATAGGGGAGGGTCACAGTTCATACTTGTTGGTTTTTCTGAAGTCCAGGGTGGTCTTGAATTGCTGCTAACTCATACCATAAATGCCTGCTGACTGTCACTTATGCCCTGTGGTCTGTGTCAGATCAGGATCTGAAAGAGACAGTCAGAGAACGCTCTCAGATTGGTGGGAATGAGATAGACAGATTAACAAGCAGTTCCAGGCCAGGATGGCCTGAGGGTACCATGCTAGGGAACAGATAGCATGCTACAAAAGACCATAATGAAGGCACCTAACATAGTTAGGGACATAATGGATGGGCTTCTCAGAGTAAGTACTTTTTAAAATAAGAGAAGGGTATCTTAAAATAGCTAGAGGAGTTTTAACACAGTTTGAGCCTTTGGTAGGAAAATACCTTGATATTTTTCCATCTGCGTAAGACTTTTATGCTGTAAGTAATTAGTAAATGATAATGTAATTGCCTGTGTACACCTATTACCTAGACAGACCTATTTATCCATCTGCCTATATATTCTCCACCTTGATCCAAAAGAGATACCATGACTTAAGGTCATATCTTGCTTAAGTAGAAGTCATTCGGGAAACTGAGTCAGCTGGATCCAGAAAGCGCGAGTATGGAACAGAGATAGAGAAAGATGAATTAGCCATATGTACACCAAGAAGACCTGTTCACTTGCTAATGGGACCACAGTGAAAGCCTGGGGGTGCATTTTTGGTAAGATCTCTGTAGATTTCCTGCTGAACCGCCTGAGCTGTTTGGGGTGGCGGTGCTCACAAGTGGAGGGCGGGGAGGAAGAGGGGGGAGAGAGGAAGGGCCTGGATGCTCCCGTACAGAACGCTCCTCCTGGCCACCGGCTCCTTGAGCACCAGAGCTATTCATAGCACTTCCTTTTCAACCAGAATGTGGGAACAATCTGACTGCCAAGCTATTATGAACAAAACCAAGAGGCTGTCTCTATACAAATCCACACTCCCTTCCTATTTCAGGGAGCCAAAGGGCTCGGGCCCATCCCAGCTGGGTCTTCGCACGTGCAGTAATCTGGGCAGCACATTCCCCAAATAGAGAGAAGGCAGGATTTATGGGCCACTCATTTCCCTGAACTCGGAGTCATAGCCTGGATGTGCTGGTGCTTTATTATGCTGCTTCTGGGTTATTTATTTAATATTGTTTCATTAAAATTTAAAGAACACAACTGGTTTTGCAAATAAAACATGAAATGCCAGAGTGCAAAAATGGATGGTTAAATTCAACAAATGCTTCCGGTTTCTGAAGGAACTGAAGTGCGGTGTCTGTTCGTGCGGGAGGATATATCATGTTCTGTGACTAAAGACTTTTCTGGTCACATAGAGACCAGTGAACATGGAGGCATGGAGCTCCCTAGCAAACTGAGTTCCACCATAATCCATCAAAACACCACAGCTTTCCAATCCTGTGCAGAGCAAGTGGCCAGACGTCAGCGCCTCATGCTAAGCATTCAAAACAAGATCTCTCCTCTGTTTTCCACGGGGACAGCAAAAGGCTATGGAACACACTCAAGGCCTCAGAGCTATTGATGGGTTTGGAAACAGGAAGGCCCTGGCTGCGGTATTCAGCCGCGCTAAATGGCCAGCATTATCCACAGCCCTGCGACATGAGTTAATTGTGCTTGCTGAGCTTTGACGCTGGGAACACTGGGAAGGCTGTGTGTAATTAGGAGCTGGCCTAATGAGAAGGGCCTCGCTCACACCACATGCCCAGTTTTTGTCCTCAAAGGAGAGTGCCAGTCCGAGGAAAGGGGAGCCTCCAAGGAGAGGCACTTACAGAGAATTCCGAGGATGTGTGATGATCTTGTTACAGCGACTTTGGGGGTAGAGAAGAGATTCCCAGGCAGGATTTAGGCCGGGACACTGGCGAGTGACAGACCAGCAGAACTCTGTTGTCCCAGTTGTGCATGGCGAGCTTCAGGCTCTGGGGCAGAGAAATAAGATGTGCCTTTGTAATAAATCCTTCCTGGTCCGGTGCGAATGGCTTCCAGGTACTTACAGGGCTCAATGGCCGAGTATTTCATCTTCTTCTGCGTTCTGCACAGTAAACAACATAGGCATTGTGAGGCTTTTCAGACTTAAGATGAACCTCATCCAGGTCGGCTTCAAACCCTGAGGCCCATTGTAGGACCCTTCCTTATAAACATTAATAAATGATTCCCTTCGCTCTTTAGGAAAGCAGAAATCGGTCTTCTTGATGTCTTGGAAAAGCCTCATGATGAGGAGAGTTTGTGGATTCTTGGCACAGCTCAGATATGAAATAAAACCCCTCTGAACGGAGGGCCTCACTTGCTTTCATTTACCAAATCACAAGGCTTCCTTAATTTCTCTCACCTTTATCTTGCTTCTTTATTTTCTTTTTGAGACAGAATCTCTATGTTGTCCAGACCAACCTTGAATTTACAATACCCCTGACTCCGTCTCCAGTCTGTTGGAATTACTGGCATGGGCCACCTTGCCAATTCATGTGTAATTTCTTGACTGTCCAAACACATCATTCTCTTTTACAAAGATCCCCGCAGTCTGGCCACATCCAAACGGCCTTGCTCTCCTGCTTTCAGCCCTGGATGGTTTCCAGTATGGCCTCCTCTGTCGCCCACCTCAGTCATTCGGCTCCACCGCAGCCGTCGGGCTGCTGAGCTGTGCTTAGAGCTCCAAGCAGATGTGGCACGGAGACCAACCAGCCATTGCAAAGACAGAACGTCTGCGGGAAATGTGGTCCTTCATCTCCAGGGATATTTCTTAGAAGTAGTCTTACTGCCATTGGAAGTCCTCTTCCCTGCTTGATAAGTGTATACAGTGTATACAGTTGGACGTAACTAGTTGCCGTGAAGGCCTCCTGCTTTCCACCTCAGCGGCTCTCCTTCTATCATCCCACATTCTTAAAAAAACAAAACAAAAAGATAACTGATTTTACTTTACGTGTATGAGTGTGTTGCCTGTATGCATATAAATGCACCACACGCACGAAGGTGCCCAAGGAGGCAGAAGAGGGTGTTGGTTGCCCTGGAGCCGGAGTTAGAGATAGTTGTGGGTCTTCTGAGCTAGATGCTGGGAACTTCACTTGGATCCTCTGCAAAAGCAGCGCATGCTCTTAACCCTCGAGTCACTCTCCAGCCCTCATCCTGCATTCTTAGCCCTGGTGTAGGTCTCCCTATAAAAACCACAGCCAGCTGCTTACAAAAATCCCTTTCTCACCAGGCTCTTGAAGGCATGGGCTCTCGCTCACTTGCCTCCGAATCTCCACTGTCCCCAACAAGAGCCGCAAGGAGACCTTCCCCGTCAGCATGTGTGTATCTCACTCTATCAGTCAAGCGGACAAATCTATGTAATTATTCCATAATTCAAAACACATTTCCCCAACTGGCCTGTGAAAATATCATGGGGGAATCTGCCAAACTGGATCACTTCTAAAACCTCAAGTATTCCCCCTGATATTTCATATTTCAATAAAAGTGGAGGCTAGTCTAATTTGTGATGATCCCTTTTTTAATGATCCCATGTTAGAACCCAATCGGTGTCTACCCCCTCTTTATATGTTGGCAAGCTGTCTGTTTGGCCCATTCTATACATTTGCTGGGACTACCACGGAGATCAGCAGCCTGTGTGTTCCAGAATTTACCTCTGAAACCCAGGTAACAGATGCTGATTCCTTGTTTGCTTGTTTAAGAGTAGTTCCTCAGTCATGGGTTTAAATTATTTTTGTTGTCTATGACAAATTTCTCTGGTCTTGGAGACTTGAGTGCATTTAAAATAATATCGTTCGCTGGAGAGTCACCCACCTCTTCAGGGCAGCTGGCCGTGGATGACTGTCAGCTCTGTGCGGACAGACTGGACACAACTACCAAAGCGCTTGAAGCCGATTTACCACGAAGCTAACGAAGCTTCAGATACCCTCATTTTGCATTCTTTTTCTCTTCTTAAAATTGGTCTTCTAAACTGTCTGAATTGGATCTGCCTCTAGGCTTTATGGGAGTTCATAGATACATGCTTCTGCTGCAAATGTTCTTGTGAGCGATGCCATGACCAGCCTACCAAAGCAACAAGTGAAAACCGTGGGCGTGTCCTCTGCATCTACCGAGAGACTGACACCAACTTCATCAAGTTGCTTGTTCTTTTGCTTTCTTACAATATGGGGGTACTAATCCTTATTTTGGTGTTAGCCGAAAGTTATTCAGTGTTGACTGACTATGAGTCCACCCTACCTAAAAGTAATTTGGTAAATAAAATTGAATACTTCTTCACATACGCGTTCAGAGAGTCACACCAGTGGAATGAGTATTTACTCCGTGAAGGAAGCTATCTAATTAACCAGAACTGGCTTCTGAACACACGCCAGGAAGCAGCAGAAGGCTGAGCACACCCTTTAATCCCGTGGGGTCTTAGTTTCCTCATCTGGAAAACAGAGATGCCAACACCTCCTCATGAAGACGCCGCGAGAAGTGCGATCCTACATACTAAAATTCTCTGTGAACTTTGGAAGTGATTTATAGATGCAGGGTATTTCTATCACCCTGAAACTATAAAATTATACTCAGCTAACACAATTTTGTAAATTTCAAGACTGTAACACACCACTGGGAGGCACGCGGGGCAGGAGCCAAAAAGTTAGAGAATGAAGATGCAGATATCAAATGTTCTCACAGGCATCGTCGACTTACAGAAAATGAGCGTTAACATACAGCTTTAGAGGAACCCAGGCCACGTCCTTGCTGTCTGCGCACAGCAGAGCCCGGGCTACCCAGTGTCCCAGGATCCTGAGACTTGTCACCTCTCCTTGTCATTTCCAAGCACACTCCCACAATGCCTTCGTTAAGAGCCCGTTCTGCTGACGCCCAGCTTCCAACCCAGGAAATAATGTCTAGATTTGTAAAGTGCTTACACCTGAAAATCTAATAATGACCTTTGCTTGCATCTGACTTGGGGATTGGTCCTCCAACCAGAGAAATAACCCTGGGAAACGGTCGCAGGTTTCTGCACTTGATGTGAGAAGTCTTCACACCCTTGGGCAGTGTCTGATCAGTCCGCTTTCAGGACTCTCTCTTGAGTTGGGAGGCAAGGCTGGGCTTTTCTTAGCTAGCGAAACAGGAATTTAAACATAGACTCCTCTCCTTACAATCTGTTGTTTTACAAGGAAGGCCTCATTTCACCAAGCCCCCGTGCACAGTGGAGATTCGAGGCGCAGCAGAGACAACTGCGTTCATTACCTCCAGCCCCAGCTAGCAGTTCAGAGAGAAATCCTGCTTCAGTTCATTATCTCCAGAGTTCCAGCTTCATCCGTCTCCATTAGAAGATACTCTGCCTTTCTGCCAAGAGGCAGGGAGAGTGAGCAACTCTGTTCCCTGTCACAGGTACTGCCGCTCACACCGGCCTCCTTGCCAAGGACCACTCTGAACTTCATTGGGCGGAAGCCTGCCTTCCTCATCTGACGGATGGCTGCCCATCTGAGGCAGTCCTCTGACATCCTGAGACAGCAGTCGGCTCTCTTTTAGCTTGCATTAGTGTATACAACTTGTCATTCCTGCCATGGAGAAATGGAAGTGTTTCCTCACCTCATATAACCTTGGTCCCCCATAGGGTTGAGCCTGAGTGTTCAACTCACTACGTGAAGCAGCTACACTGACCCCTCTGCCTCACTATTAGCCTGTGACTTTGAAAGAAAAGAAGGAAACAAGGAAATCTAGGTCGACTATAGGCAGAAGGAAGAGTAAAAAAGGAAAATGAAGATATGGTGTAGTCTAAGGGTCTACGGTCATGGCGCCAGGGTGGGGAGTTGAGGGTAGGGCAAGTGGAGCCATTGGTCAGTGAACAGGGAACCTCCAAGAGGACAGACTGCAGGTCTGTGGGCCCGGGACATGCATGTCATCACCACAAAGAGCTCCCTAATCAATCCCTACTTTTCTGTAAAAATCAAGAAGATAAAATTAAACACATCTATGCTTACGACTGTGTGGGGTTCCCTCCTGGCTTGATTTTTATCATTTCCCCCTTCTCTAAATTCATGAAGACAAGTTAAAACAAAAACAAAAAGCAGATACTGTTTAGAATGAAAAGCTCTGCCAAGAGAAACAGCGTGGGTGTGTGAGCAGCCAGCGTACTAAGGGATGAAGGCCCCCTTGCCCCTCATGGGCAGATCTTTAGCTATTGTTGAAGGAGAGGGTCAGGAACTGGAATGCCAGAACTCAACACAAGACCACTGCAGCGGGCACCTTTCTCAGGGCACAGCAGACTAGGCCATCGTTCCCAGCAGGTTCTGCTGGGGTGGTCTGCTCATGGTCACTGGGGTACCCAGGAACTTCCCACACAGGGAAGGGTGGAGAAGCATAGAGAGGAAGCTTCTAGCCATCTGTGGCTATGATTGGTTGTTTCCATTCCTCCAACCTTCAGTGAGAATGACTCTCAGGTAAGGCTGCCTCTGTCTTCCAGAGCACACCGGGGTGGGGCTCCCCTTCATACCTCTACACCAGCCCCCACTGTTCCTGAAAATGCCTTCTACTGAACCACACTCAACCTGGTTCCTCCTCTCACCAGGAGCCTCTGGAGAACCTAAGACATCCGGAGATCTGTGAGGGTGTGAGAAGGGTGTTTCCAACAACTGGCAGGGTTAGAGAAGAAACACAAATGGGCCTGACATAGGGGCTGGAAAGGGGGCTTTTTCGGGGTCCCAAGTCTTGTGATAATAAAAGGTGTGTGTGTGTGTGTGTGTGTGTGTGTGTGCGCGCGCGCACAAGTAGGCGTATGCTCTCCCATCTTCTGATAAGGATTGCATCGCACTGTGTGTCTTTCACATATTAGCAACATAAC